ACACGCTATAATTCACAATGATTCACGCACTTTACTTACGGTCACTACCGCTCGCTTGACTCAATTATCTCTTTCTGTCTGCTATTATTATCTCTGCTTTATTTGCTGGGCTTATATACAAAAATAGAGGGTGTCTGGCAAACACTAGAATTGCCAGGAACAGTCATGATCCTTCTAGAAACTCATGACGTGTTACCAGTATCACATGACTTCCGCTGGGAGAAACTACATGGAGCTTTCCCATGTGCTAACAAGACTGAGTCATGCTTGTTCACTCATTAATATGCATAAATTTTTTTTTTTTTTCATTTTATTGATGAAAGAATATTCCTCTATGATTCTGATAATTTATTATAACTATTGCCGGTAATTGTTTTGTTACTTTTTTCTTTACTGGACACAGGATCCGGTGCTCATGTATTATTATGAGACCCCAAGCGAAATTGCTGGATGTTTTCGAAGGTCTGGCATTAATTTTGCTAAATGAAATACTTGCTACTTTAGAAATTGAAAATACAAATATTGGCTTATACATAGATGTTCCTGATCTGGCACTTTTCACATAGAGGAAATTGCTAATATAATAAATCATATGCCTCCTCAACCATCATTAACTATGGGACATTTAGTAAATGAAATTTTGTGAGGATAAAGTTTTATTATACATAATTGAACAAATTTCATATGCAAGAAAGTACATGTTGTGCACATCACATTTTGAGCAAGTTAGGTTTTCTCTGACAATTAAAAAGAGCTAATGCTATGCTTAAAGCTAGTTTGTTTTATACTCCTAAGTGATCCGTGTTATAGAATGTCAAAGTTAACATGGTCTGTAACCATACTAACAATATGACCCACATATTGAGTTGCCTCACACATCACAATTCCCATACTTCACATGCTTATAAGATCATAGAAAATAAACTGTTCCATTGAACCAGAAACTTGAGGTGGTTGAATCATTTGTATAATATTGTCATCAATATATCACAGTGTGTCCTCTTTTTGTGGCCATTTCTTGACATTAGCAGCTGACTTGATCATGATGCTAAGTTCATATTCATCACCAACAACAGTGAATATTTCTCTGTAAAAGGTTTCACTATCATATTAGACTAGCATCCAGTCACCTTCCTTCAAATGGGATACAAATGTCTGACCAACATGTCTTGATTTACTGGATGCATTGTAGGGAAGTTGCAAGTTCTTGTTTGGATCCTATTTTAAAACATGCATCTTCTTGATCCCAGGGATAACTTCTGCATTATCACAAACAGTATCATCCCATTTCATATCTCTGTCAAGGAACAAGAGTTTCAGTCAACAGATTGCCTGCAATTTTAATAAAAGTTAAGGAATTCTGAACAGTGGATGCAGATGCTGATAGCAGTAGCTTAGACAATGGATTTGGCCAACCACACTGTCAACAATTATTTTACCATGAAACATCATAGAAAATTTTCATGTGAACAGATTGTTGTTTTTTTTTTGCTTAATTGCTGTAACAAATAGATCTTGTACTTATTTTTAAGTTCTGATGATGTTTCATCAGTCAATGATCTCCTCAACTGTCATTATTTCAAGTGATTTTGGATTTAGCCTCTTTTCATACAAGTACTTAACAAAGATGCTGAAAGTGTTCGTTTTCTTTTGTGTCTGAGCATATAAGGCAAGCTTTGCATTCACCTTTGGGTATAGCTGCTGCTGTGAACAGTAACACTACCATGACTCCATAATGAACTTTGCATTAGCTGTAGATCTTTGCAAAGTGCATCTGTAGATGGCACTACTATACATTTCTATATCAGAGACAAAATCTTTAGTTTCAATTATCTTCATATTGATATTCTGAATAATAGTTATAAACTGATCTTGCATCTTTCACCACACACATCAATCTCTCAATCCTTCCTTTCTATCACTCCTTCCAGATTCGTTTTTTTTTTTGGCAAGTCGTCATTTATAATTTTATCTTTTGATCATTTCCTCACTCTTCGCACGATTCTTGCTAGTATCATAAATTCAGACTTCAGATTTGTATTTACTCTCGATAGCTGCCAGTTTACAAATCAGACATCTACACCAATAAGCTGATGTTTCATGTGACAGAAGGACATTTTCTGGCTTCATCTTGCAAAATGTGGAAAAGGCTATTGGGATGTCTCTTCCAATGAAAGGAAAAAATCTTCTCTGAGAAATATCTTTCAAAGTTTTATCTTCTCTCTCCTCTTTTCCCTACTGTTATTTCATCTTTAAGTTCTGGACATGTGTAGACTATATCAGATTTACTGCAGCCTTTTGAGGACTCCTGTCCTTGCAAGAAATGTTAACTTGGGTGTTTTTATATTAACCCATGCTTGCTTTCCAGATTTCACTGTTGTTGGCCCATTTCTTCTGAAAGACCTTGATAAAGAATTACTACTTTTTCAGAGCCTTTCCAAAGAATTGAGGGCTAGTATGTGAACCAACCTCTTCCAGAGTCGTGCTAGAAGTTACAGGGTTGAGTGACTTTTTTTCCATGCTACTTATAGTTTCTTTGTGTCTCTTTCCTTCTTATGGTACTTTTCTGCTTTTTTTGGCATCCTTCTACTATCTCTTTTTCTCACATATAGTGTATCCTGTTTCTGTTGCTTTCTTTCACCGTATCATCATTTTTCTTTTTGTATTTTTGTACTTTTTTCTGCATCAGCCATTTTTCCTGCCATGTTTTTTTACATCCATTTTGATCAGTTTTCTAAAGCAATAAAATTGGTTTTCAACTTATAATGGACAATTATTAAAAATACAAATCTCTATAATGTGTTTTACTTAGAAAATAAGTTGATAACCATTAAATATATGCTCTAAAATGTTACGAATTTCTCATGTGTCGTAGATTCCAGATATAATACTTAATCACATTTACTAAGAACATTGCTGATACTTATCCCAGATGTCATTTGTGATTATACACAAATCAAATAACTTTCAGTTATGTAATTTAACTTGCACAAATGAATGTGATCTGATGTCCTGTGGATCATGCAGGTTTTTAATTAATTGCATTTTAGGTACGGATTTAAAATACAAAAAGCCAGAATGTAGTTACTGAGATTATGGTACACTGAAATAAGAAGTTTAAATTGACTTCATTGATGGGAGAGTTGGAGGATAATAGAAGATCAAGAGAGTTGGTCACATGGGAAATTAGGAAAGTATATGAAAAAAAAGGTTGGTTGAAGTGTAATAAGAGGGTATCTTCAATAGCCATGGCGCTTGAAATTCTTTTAGGCAGGATTAGAGTAAATTAATCTATGAGACCTTTTTTCCCTTTTTATTAGCTATATTGTTTTGCACCGGCAATACCAAACGTGGGGCACATGTATACCCGATTCGATTTTAGTACTCATCAGGATCTCTACCAGCCAGCCTACCCTCAAATTGAAATTCTTTTAGGTAGGATTAGAGTAAATTAATCTATGAGACCTTTTTTCCCTTTTTATTAGCTATATTGTTTTGCACCGGCAATACCAAACGTGGGGCA